TGATAATGGACTAAACCTCTGAAACTGTAAGTCAGCCCCAATTAAATGCTTTCTTTTATAAGAGTTGCCATGGTCTTGGTGTCTCTTCACAGCAATAGAGCACTAAGATAACATGTCCCCATTGTTGAATGATACCTGTCTGTATGGCCACAGTGAAGACTCACCAGAGTCTGAGATTTGTCAGTGTGATCTTGGTCAAGGCACATTCCTTCTCCAGGACATCCCCACGTGCTTAGTGGCAGATGAGTCTGTGTGTATGAGCCAAGACCTAGAGCTTTTGCCTGGCCAGAACCAAGCTCTCTTCTGTTGGGAACAGCACCTTAGGTTTTCTTTGGAGAACTATTCCTCCTCCACCTTCCATCCTTGTCTTAGTTAGGGTTTCTATTCCTGCACAAATATCATGACCAAGAAGCAAGTTGAGGAGGAAAGGGTTTATTCAGCTTACACTTCCACATTGCTGTTCATCACCAAAGGAAGTCAGGACTGGAACTCAAGCATGTCAGGAAGCAGGAGCTGATGCAGAGGCCATGGAGGGATGATACTGGCTTGCTTGCCTTGCTCAGCTTGCTTTCGTATAGACTACTAGCCCAGGGATGGCAACACCTACAATAAGCCCTCCCACCTTGATCACTAATTGAGAAAATGCCTTACAGCTGGATCTCATGGAGGCATTTCCTCAAGGGAGGCTCCTTTCTCTGTGATAACTCCAGCTTGTGTCAAATTGACACAAAACCAGGCAGTACAATCCTCATGCTTAAGCAAGATAGCATCGTTCCTGGCTCCAATATGAATGTGACCAGGACCAGTAGGTGCGGGGAGCAGCTACCGTCTTGAGCTGTTGCTCTCACAAGCACATGGAGGCAGAAACTCAGCAGCATGCCCACTTCTTAGTCCTGGCAGAGCTTCTTGTGTATGTCTGGCTATGGACATTAAGCCTGGCTGTGGCTACTAATGTCCTCTAGCATCTACCTGAGTTGTCAAAGCTTTTACACTGAGGTGCACCTGATTCTCTCCACCCCAGCGACCCATCCTATGTTGATGTAGCTGGCACTGCAACTTTACAGTAAGTCTGACATTGGGTATTTAGGAAACTGAGTCACGGAAAGACAAGACTGCCCTAGATGACAGGAGGTGGGCAGATCCAGAGGATGGATTGCTGTTCTGTTTCACAGCTCTAGGAAGAAGAGGTTGAAGGTACCTCCTCTACATGTCAGTGGCATCTGGTCCTCTAGAAACATGTCTAAAGGCCCAAAGCATGGGTCTGAGGAAACCTAGGACTCCTTAATGTCTCCAGAAAGCCTCAAGAAGACAGCCCATGGTCCTGAAGTTCTAGCACCCAAAACTACCATAGGCCTTCCCTGTAGTATCTATTACTATGGATAGAAGCTTCAAGGTAGAAACCCAGTTTTCTCCTTTATGAAGAGATTGTGGGCCCAATAGTTGCACATGCTCAGGAAGTATCTCTCAGCCTAAGTTCTTCATCAGCGGGTCACTGTGCTCTAGGCTCAGGGAAATGCTTTTACCTCCATGCCTGCATTATTTACTATGAATCAGTCTTGGGGCTCTCACTAGAAGAAAAGGTTCCAGAGCACTGAACCCTGGTTCTGGAACAAAGCCAGTTTTTGTTCCAGATCCTTGGGATCCCTGGGGAACTTCTTTGCCAGTGAGGTGAATTATTGCCTTTTGTTGAATTGGGGAGCCTTTGTGAGTAAACTGGCGTAGGCAGATGAAGGGATTCCTTTAGTCCCTCCATTGCTGCCCTGAGACCTTGGAGAACCATAGCTTTGAGATCACACAGACAAAGCATGTGATATGTGCTATGGGGCTCCTAGATACCTGGATGAAAAGGGGTGGGCAGTTTCCTGTATCAGTGATACCCCTGGGTCATGATGAAGCTATGAAGAGTCTTGCAGCTGTCCTCTGTCATTCTGGCCATCCTCCTGCCTCAGGTAAACCTGCATCTCCTTTTACCATCACCACACCAAGAGTCTGAGCCGATCAGAATGGGAAGAGGGGAAGGTTCCACAGGCTTCCTTTGATTTGGCAGCCATGCCCTTGGGACAGACCCACACCAGGCACACTCATGTGGCTCAACATGGACTGCAGACAATCACCCGCTGGTCCTGGCTCCTTGACTGGAGCATGGAGCAGATACACAACCCAGGGGTGGGAAATGCACGTGGTGGAAAAGAGTGAAAATCAAGGAAACGAGGTGGGGCTGAGGGTAAACGAGGCAGGGGGCAGTGGCCTCTCTGAAGTGACATTTAAACTGAGCAGCTCAAGTCTGGGAGCTGTGTGCCAGAAACAAAGCTCTGCTGGGACAGAGGTTCAGACAGAAGCAAGCCAGGAAGAAGAAGCTAGGACAGCCGGGATAGGGCAAGGGTGGCTGAGGGAACTGTAGGACCAGCTGCTGTGAGGCCTGGTTATTTTCTCTTCTCATAACATGGGCACTGTTACCATGCTAACAGTTCGTCCCTCACAGCTTCAGTGGACCAGGAATCTACAGATAGCTTCTCTGGAAGCCTCATGTCTTCCAGATGCTGGTGATGTACTCTCTGATGGGGCTAGAGCTGGGAGAGTCTGTAGGTGTCAGAAAATTCAAGCTCCTGTCAGTAGCCTGAGCTCTCCCTGGCTCCAACAGCTGGGTCTGAGCTCTCCCTGGCTCCAACAGCTGGGTCTGAGCTCTCCCTGGCTCCAACAGCTGGGTCTGAGCTCTCCCTGGCTCTTTCAACATGAGCCTTTCACATAGAGTGACTCCTGAATATGGGTCCTTGAATCCTCAGCTAGAAGATTCTGAGGTGGAGAGGAGGAAAGGCAAGGCTGAGCTAGGGAGGGGAACGGAAGAGGGCAGATGGGAGAGATAGGAAAGGAGGGAAGATCTGCAAGGGAAGGTGAAAGAGCAGTATTTTTGCTAGCTAAACCTTGGGAGCTATAGTACGATGAATGTTTATGGTACCCCAAAGTCTTACACTGAATCCTAGTCCCCACGGTGATGGCACTAGAAGGTGGAACCTCATGGAAGTAACTAAGTCATAAGGGTAGAGTCTTCATGAGAGGAACTAGTGCTCCTTTAAAAGACAGCCCAGAGAGCTCTCCTCCTCTTTCAGTCCTGTGAGAAATAACAGCAAATGTTGGTGGTCTAAAACCTTGTAGCCAGGTCTTATCAAAGCTGGTCTGTATCAACACCCTGATATCAGACTTGCAGCCACCAGCTCTGAGAGAAACAAATGTCTGTTCTATAGGGCACAGCCATGTGGTCATATAGCTCATGCCCATAGAGACAGGGTAGCATCCCGCTGACCTCGCCATATTACATTAGTCAGAAGTGAACCACTAACCACTCAGTGGTTACATTTGGACCAGTCCACCAGAAATAGGAAGTCATGGCATGCTGCTGCTTACCACATGGGCTGGAAAGGGCACATGGATTGATTCTGAGCACAGTGGGAAGTCATCAAAAGGTTCTGGGTCACAGGATGGTAATATACATTTCATTCCCTTTCATTCCCATGCCCTCATAGCACAGAATGGAAAACAAGGCCCTCAGACGAAGTGGCTGGTCAGTACCACAGGGTGGGAGCTGGCAGGTTTAGAGTTGTATTCTATGATTCCTCCCCATTCTGAATCTGAGTCTGTGCATGTGTGGCTTATGACTCCGACCTGCAGGTTTTCTATCAACTCCCATTCACTTAGCGCTAACCCTCAGAAGCAGACTCTAGAACAAGCCCCAGTGTGGCGGTCTGGAGATGGGAGAGGCACAATGAACTGCTAAGATTCTGGAGCCCTCAGTCCTGCCGTCTTGGACACCTCCAGCTCTTCTCAATGGCAGGGACCAGGTACAGTCAAGGAAGTGACACGGGAGGAAGGTAAGCAGCCACTAGGTGAGGAGCTCAGTAGGTCTAATTAACAGAAGGAGGCCAGGTAATGGAACCTTGAAGAAGTGATCTCACTTCCTGGTGAGAGATCTCGGTAGCTCTTAGAACTTTGGAAAACAAGCATATTCCATAGACAGCGCCTGTCCCATGCTTCTCACTTGACCAGAGAGCTTCAGAGGAGCAAGATACTTAACTGCTACACAACTGGCTTTTTCTGTTGTTTGCTTTGAACACATACTGTATGCATGCATGCATGCATGCATGCATGTATGTATGTGTATGCATTATTGTGTATGTGAATGTCAGAGGACTACTTGTAGGAGTCAGTTCTCTCCTTCCTCCACATGGATTCCAGGAATCAAACTCAGGGCATAACGCAAGCAATCTCACTTATTAGGTCATCTCACTGGCCTCACATCTGTGTTTCCAAGGCTCAGGCACTGGAAAGATCTAGAATGGGAGACCTTTTCTGCAGACACTGGCTCAGCCCTCACCACTGAAGCCTGTGGCCATTTGGAGAAGGTACCTTCCCCTCAAAGCAACAGTGGGTAAGTAACCTCACAGCTTTCCCTATTACCACATTCTCGTGTGTGTGTGTGTGTGTGTGTATGTGTGTGTGTGTGTGTGCGTGTGTATGTATGTATGCATGTACATATGTGGTATGGGCAGGTGCCCACAGATGCCAGAGGGGGCACCGGAGCCTCTGACGCTGGAGTGACAGGTGGTTGTAAGCTGTCCAGTGCTGAGAAGCCAACTTGGGTCCTCTGGAAGAGCAGTCAGTGCTCTTAACCACTAGCCATCTCTCCAGCCCCAGGGGCAGGCTTTCTAATGGTGGTGCACTCCTACAATGAATGCCTGACACCTCCTGGCCTGCCAGCCAAACACACTCTTAGCTGATCTCCAACCAGAGAGTGAAAGGAAGCATCAAGCATGCTTCTGGGTGCTATTTTCTTTGAAATACTAGTATTTATTTTAAGTGGCTGGGCCTGGCACCCACCAAACGACTTGCTAACCATGGGTCCTTTCCACATCTGTCTTCTTTAATCAAACTGTCCTCATCTCTGATAAAACTATGGTGTGGATGGAAAGTTGTAGACAGATGTGCAGCGGGAAGGAGCAAACACTTTATTTGAGGTATGAAGAAGGACGGGACGAGTATAGGGTCTGGATGGTGCTAAGAGATCGCTTCCAGCTTTCCTTCCAGCGCTGAGACTCCGACAGCAGGGTCTTGAAGTAATCCTGGATACCCTTCAGTTCTTTGTCAAACAGTGCCAAATATTTCTGAAGGGAAGCAAAAGGCAGGCTTGGGGACTCCTGCCCTCACAGACTTGGGAGCTTTGAGCTCTGGGGCCCACAGCAAGCACTGACCCCTGGCCCTCAGGAACAGCACTAGTCCTACAAGCTGTTCCTCAGGAAGTCACTCTACAAGCTCTCACATAGGTGAGGTTATCCTCTTACCTTACAATGGGAAGTCTGTGACCTATGGTCACCCAGCTCAAGAGAAACTGAGCAGGGGCAGAGACCCGTTGTCAGGGACAGCCTTGTTTATAAACTGAAGGCCTAAAATCAGCCATAGGCCTAAGTCAGCCTGTTAACACAAAGTCTTGGTCTCTGTGGAAAAACACTGAACAGATGGCTATAAGATAATGTAAACAAATAGCCTTGGTGGAAATTTACCAGCCTGGACAGTCATAGGCCTTGTGTAGCCTTGGTGGATAGTACCAACTTAGATAAGGGCAAGTGATTCATAGGCAGACTCATAGTGACCTGTCCCCTGAACCTTCACCCAGCTGATACCTTGTTCTGAAAGGTATCTGTACACCTATACTCCTGCGTCATCCCCTTCCCCACATCCTGCCTTTGTGTGTTTATAACCCCTGTGTGAAAAAGTAAAAATCAGCTATTTGATCAGACTATAGGGTTTGATCAGACTATAGACAAATTGTCATTCTTTATGTTCGCCTGCTTCCCCCATTCTCTCTTTCAGGTGACCTCCCTGACCCTGTTCAATGCCCTGCTGGACGGGACAACCCTTGTGTCTCTGGTTCTGGGATGTGAGTATTCCTGACTATTGTCCTGCAGTGGAGCTCTCGTGGGGGTTCCTTGCTTCTTCAGAAGGCTGAGCCCTGGGTCTCCATCCCTCATTGAATTTAGCAGGTAGAGTCTTTCCCTCTGCCTGGAGTCTGGAGTGGAGCAGCAGCTAGGGACACACCAGCACTAGGCACTTCAGGCTTTCCCTGGGACCAGTGAATGTGACTAGGTTTCTCTGAGGGCACCAGGAGCAAGGATTTGTACATCTTCTGACCTGGGAGGTAGTTCAGGTGGCATTTGGGTAAAGCCTCATCAGGCCAGTCCTACAGTCTGTCAGTGGGATCAAACCCTGGCTCTGCTGTTTGGGAGTGTTGTAGAAAGGCAGGTATCTTCAGGTATTATTGCCCTTGTTAGGAAAATGGGAGAGATTCTACATCCCTCAGCAGTGGCAGAGAGGATGTCACAAGATGCCTCATGTTGAGAATAGGAGGTACTTGTTAGCGCCTGGAGTCTGTGGGTGTTCCTGCCATTGTACAACCCCACCACCACCACCACATACCTCTGTAGCTATGGGCATTGCTACATCTGTCTGCCTTGTGCCTGACTCTACTGTCCCTCTGCAGCAGCCCTTCTCCATGACTGCTAGGTGAGGTATCTGTCTGCTGAGTATAGGGTCACAGCTTAGCCACCAAACTGGTACCAGGGATGGACATGGCCCTTGGCATGTGACCTTGAGCCTATCGAAGAGTTGAGATCTGGGGGATGCTGGCATGTGCTCTTTCTCCATGGGTCAGGTGTTGAGGTACCCAGTGGATTGTAGCTCCCTCCTTCCTCAGGCAGCCAATCTGAGTTGCTTTGCTTCCCCTGACATACACCACTTGTCCCTGACTCACCAGGTAAACAGCATCTCGGGCTTCTACAGCAGCCAAGTGACCCAGGGTGGTCTTAGAGGTGGTTATTGATGGTGTCCTCCGAGTTAGTATCTTGGTTTGAATGGTGATTTCGTTGGGCTTGATTCCTGGCCACTTCCTATAGACAAACATGCTTGGCTTCATCTTCTGTCAGCCACCCAACACACAGCTTGAAACTCAGCCATTAGCGTGGATTTAGATGGCTTTGTTAAAGGTCCCCCTGAGCTTTTCCTGTTGGGTTCTTTATGTTCTGCTTCCTATTTCCGTGATGACCTAACAGTGTGTATAGCCATGGGGCCTGATGTATGAGAAAGGGAAATGCCACCCAAGCTTCTTCCCCTTTTCTGGGCCTTGGTTTCCTCATCAACCTGCCATGCAGGCAGCAGCCATGAATTCCTGGCCTATTTTTCCTATTGTTCTGTAGGAACCTCTGTGGAGAATACAGTTGGGAGTCACTGCCCTCAGACCCAGGGCACAGGCACTTTGACAACTGGACAGACAGCTGGAGTAGTTCACAGTGCTGGCAGCAACTTGAGAATGTACCTCCCCTTGGGACAGGCCTCCTTTTCTTTGTAGCCCCTTGTGGCCCTGGAATTCTCAGCATGTGCTGGGTGACCTCATCTTTCTCTTCAAACAGCCTCACTCATTTCAGAGACAGAAACTGAAGGCTGGACATCAGAGACTTTCCAGGGCTATTAAGTCCACCTGAGTTCTGAGCCTGAGTCCCTCCCCCACTCCCCTGTCCTGTACTCAATGGACTCAACCATTCACACGGTCCCTAGATTCTCACCTGCTCCCACGTTCAATCAGGGGCTTCTCACTCTCTTCCTCCAGAGAGAGCATGGCCAGCTTCCTCCGTATGAGGATTGATACTTTCTGCTTTTGGGGCTCCGTCCCTGACAGGAAAGAGGTGCGTTATTGACTGTGACCTCACGGACAGCTTGAGAACCAGGGACATGACACCGTGGTCCTATTTAGAGACGAGAGGCCTCACCCTGGAAAGAACAGTCAAGGCTGCTCACCAGATGTCTAGCCTGGGGCTCCAACTCTGGCATGCTTTCCTGGTAAGGAGAGTGGGGCTCTGAATGCAGAGTGTAGCACTCTTCAAGAGAGCAGCTGTCAGTGTGCATCTCCTATTGTCTGACCATCTATCCAGAGGCCTGTCTGTCTGTCTTTCCAGCGTGGGGCCTCTTCTCCCTGACATCTTCACCAGGCCCCAATAGTCACCAAACTGAAACCAAAAAGCTGGATGGATACATGCCTGTGAACCGAGCCACCAGGAAGTCGAGGCAGATGATCTTGTGTACTAATGTATATTTCAAGAGTGTCCTCAAGCACAGGGAGACTCTAGTGGGCTCTTAACGTGCTGCTCTAGCTCAGCCATGCTATGTCCATGTTCTTCCTTGTAGGCAAGGGTTGGCTGAGAGCCTTATGCTTGCCACAGGAACTGCTTCTCTTCAGAAACACATGGTTCTGGGTTTTTTTCTGCTTTTAAGACTGACCTGTGAGAGTTCTATGCACCCCAGGAATAGCTGTTTTTTCTCTGACTCATGGGTTGTGAGGAGGAACACTCTTCAGATTTTCTGTTTTTCTCCATGTTGAACTTTGTCCCCCCTGTTTTAATTTTGGCCCACAGAGGTGCCACCATTTCCTTTATGTCCTCTGACTCTTACTCTTTATTTAGGATTGGTGCCCTAGCCCTAAGAGTATGAAGATATTCTCTGCCTGGGCTTTATTTTAATATTTACTCTTCAATTCACCTGGCATTTACTTGTTCAGCCAAAACATTTTCTTTGATAAAAATAAGTAAAAAAATCAATCCATCCACTTGTGATGTACATTAAATTAGTAAATTGTCACATGTTCTTTGAGCTCACTAAGAAACTGGCCCTGGCGAGAAGCACCTAAAGAAATGTTCAGTATCCTTAGTCGTCAGGGAAATGCAAATCAAAACAACCCTGAGATTCCATCTCACACCAGTCAGAATGGCTCAGGTGATAGTAGATGCTGGCCAGGGTGTGGAGAAAGAAGAACACTCCTCCATTTGTGGTGGGACTGCAAGATGGCAACTACTTTGGAAATTAGTCTGGCAGTTCCTCAGAAAATTGGAATAGCATTACCTGAGGATCCAGCTATACCACTCCTAGGCATATACCCAGAAGATGCTCGAACATATAACAAGGACATATGCTTAACTATGTTCATAGCAGCCTTATTTATAATAGCCAGGAGCTGGAAAGAACCCAGATGTCCTTCAACTGAGAAATGGATTCAAAAAATGTGGTACATTTACACAATGGAGTATTACTCAGCTATTAAAAACAATGAATTCGGGAATTTCCTAGGTAAATGGATGGAACTAGAAATTATCATCCTGAGTGAGGTAAGCCAATCACAAAAGAATACACATGGTATACACTCACTAATTATTGGATATTAGCCCAGAACCTTGAAATGCCCAAGATTCAACTCACAGGCCACATGAAGCTCATGAAGAAGGAAGACCAAGTGGGGGTGATTCGGTCCTTCTTAGAAGGAGCAACAAAATACTCAAGGGATCAAATATGGAGACAAAGTGAGGGACAGAAACTGAAGGAGGGGCCGTCTGAAGACCATTCCACCTGAGTATCCATCCCATGTGCAGTCACCAAAGGTAGATGCTGATGTGGAAGTCAGGAAGTGGATGCTGATAAGAGCCTGATATAGATGTCTCCTCAGAGGTCTGCAAGAGTCTGACATATTCAGAGGCAGATGCTCACAACTAGCCATTGAACTGATCATGGGGTTCCCAATGGAGGAGTTAGAGTGAATACCATTGGAGCTGAAAGGGTTTGTGGTCCCATGAGGAGAGCAACAATACCAACCAACCACAGCTCCCAGGGTCTAAACAACCAGCCTGGGAGCACTTAGGGAGGGACCCATGGCTTCAGCTGTATACGTAAGAGTGGAGGGCCCTGATGGGCATAGGTGGGAGAAGAGATTCTTGGCCTCATGAAGGCTGGACGCCCCAGGGGGTGGGAATTTGAGGGTGGGGAGGTGGGAGTGGGGGGTAAGTAGGGGTACATCTGCAGAGAAGCAGGAGGAGGGGTAAGGGGATAGGGGGTTCCTGGGTGGGTGGGAGATGGGGTAAGGGAACAACATATGAAATGTAAATAAAACATCCAATTTAATAAAAAAAGAAACTGGCCCTGGAAACAGCCTGCTCACCCCCTCCCCCATTTCAGACCCAAGCACGTTTGTCTCAAAGCCTCCTCCAAGGCCACAAGGAAGAGAACATTGAAAGAGCACAAGGAGAATGTTCCTGAGAACAGCTAGAATCCCTATGACTTCCAACAGAGGTGAGCACTGTTTGGTCTAACATATAAAAACACCTGTAGTGAGAAAGAGACCAGAGGGACCCGTCCATGGTGAAAAGCCTCCGAGGGGAACCCCAGCCCTTGGCTTCAGATTCTCTGGATGGTCTGGCTGGATGTTGTCAGCATCTGATTGGCCTCTGTCTGTTGCTGTGGTTTTGTACTCGGTGCTGTGACTGACCTGGTAGATGGAGAGAGCTTCTAGAGAGACACTGTGCCTCTCAATGTGTCTCTCAGCCTGTTGAAACTATGGACTCCCAGAAATGGGAATTTTCTAGAAATTTCATGCTGGGAGTAGGAAAAGGCCTCCTCCAGAAGGGAACCTGTCTCCTGGATAGAGGTTCTGCACAGTCCTGAGAACTTAGACCACCTCACAGGACGAGACTGAAGCAGACAGTGACAGTCAGTGGTGGGTGGGAGTCCACTTTCACCCGGCTTGCAGAGATGTGCACATACTTGACCTTTTATTTAGACTTCAACTTTATTTCAGGACCCGGAAGATGGATTTGGAGCTTTGCAGGGTCTCTTTGTCCCTTTTCTGAGTAAATCTCCTTTTTCTGCTTTCCACTTAGTTTAGTGGCTTATTGAGGCCAGGAGGCCAGATCTGACTTGGGGAACAGGTTGTAACCCCCAAGTTTGATAACAGAAGCCTCATCTGAGGGGACCCCTGCTCTGTCCAGGATTATCTATCAGTAGTTCCAGATGAGTGCCTCAATGGGTCTTCCCCAACTGGATGTTTTGAGAGCTGCGTGATGATGCTTTGCTATCTGTCTATTGAACTATCTGCGACCTGCTATTTACTTTGCTACTTTGGCTTGGAATACTCAAAGCCATAAGTATACCTATTGTACATCTTTCTGGAGCCAGACCATCACTCATTTTCACCCTGACTGAGGGACAGCAGACATCCCTAAGCCCCAAGCACCCTACACCTTGTGAGCCCTAGGGCCACAGCCCGAGGCAGGTGTACCACTTACGTGGAACCTGGATGTCATCAATGGTGATCACTTCATCCAACTGCAACAGGAACCGCTCTGTGAAAGAGGCTAAATTTGCTATAAAGAAGCGGGCATACTTCTTGACAAATTCCTGGAGAAAAGAGAGTGAAAATTGACTTCAGAAACAAGCCCCTACCAGGCTAGCAGGAGAAGGATAGAACAGCTCCAAGGAGGGCCAACTAGTGAGGCAACCCTGATGTCATGTGAACAGCTGCACTGGGGTTAGCTAGTACCTGGTCCTTGGAGCCCAGGGATCTCTCCCAACATCTGGTCTGGTTTGAGACTAAGAAAGGATCGAGAGGAGTTGGTGAAATGTCCCAGCGGGTTAAGTACTTGCCACCAAAGCGGGAAGACCTGAGTTCAATTTCCACATTCACAAAAAGAGCTGGGTGTGATTTGTAAATAATTTTAAAAAATCAAAGTATGGCCAGGTGTGGTGGCCCTTGCCTTTCATCCTAGCACTTGGGAGGCACTCTGTGAGTTCTAGGTCAGCCTGGTCTACATGACAAGTCCTAGGACAGTCAGGACTATAGAGAGAGACCCTGTCTCAAACAAACAATTAGGTACTAACCATCAGGCTCAACTCTTCTGAAGGGCAGCATGGCCCTGAGCACCTGGGGAGGAGACTGACTGGCAACCCTTACCTCCATCTTCTCCTGGTTCGTTTGGATCATCTGGTTCAGCTCCTTCTGCCTCAGTTCCTCCATGAGTTTTAGTGACTCCATTTGACTGGTGTATGTGGGGTGGCCGAGATTTGGATGGAGTTTCTGAGCATTTACATCCTTCAATCAAACAAGGCAGAAATTAGCAGAGATTTTGACCAGGACTTGAAATCAGGACCGATGTCTTCTGCCAGCTAAGGTCACAAGCAGACAGGTATGTCCTGGGTGTGATCTGAGTGTGGGAAGGTAGGAGTGTAGTTGGTACTCGGAGGGTTGGAGAGAAGATGAGCTGGGTACCCACTCCAGCACAATCTGGGCCTTTAGTCCAATAAAATCAGCACCAATCATATACCACAGCACCAAGGAACACGGCTGAACTATTGTTGATCTCAATGACCAAGGCCCTATCAAAGATTTCAAATACAGCCTGGAATTTGGGGAGTGCCTTCGACAAGTTTTGGCTTAGTTACCAATTCCCCAGCACCCCTGTCCCCAGCAGCCTTGCTCATGACCCGCCTCCATTCTCAACTCCCTGCACTCCTGTGACCTTCACCTTCTCCTTCTCTAGATGCTTCTGCTGCTGCTCAAATTCCTCCCGGACCTCCGTCATGGATACGCAAAACTTGCTCCAGTGCTGTTCCTTGTAGTTCTCCGTCACCAGCCAACACACCTGGGGCAGCAGCTCCTCAAACCTCCTCACCTGGGCACGCAATTCTGCAGGAATCGAGGGTAGGGTATCAGGAATGGACAGAGGAGATGGAAGTTGCTGAGGCCGCGTCTCCAACAAAGGGAGAACATGGGTCTCCAGTGTGATAAGAGCTACTCCATCCAAAGGAGATCTACAGCCAGACCAAGATAGGAAATGATGGTCAAACAAATTCAGAGGGATTCTCAGTGTGCTTAAAATGTGTTGTGTGCCTCGTCATGGGCAAGTTCCCATCTATGACATCTTCAGGTACTGCCTTGACCTTGTCTCCCTCCCCTGCACCTCCAGACGACACGTGCTGAGACCTGCTCTTTCATGCCCCCCCCCTCTCTCTCCCTCCCTCCCTC